GTACATCCGCAACTTGATGATTCAAACATCCGAGAGTCACCTCTGGGAGGTAATCGAAAAGATTACCGGCCAGGGAACGGTGGAACGAGTGAAGAAGCTACGGGACTTTGCATTTGTCCATTTTACGACACGAGAAGCAGCTCTTCAAGCAAAGGGCGTACTGGACGGTAAGTAATGTTTTGAACAGTTCAGACGAATCGAAGATGAAAAATGGCAAACGTAATTCATCTCAACGCTTCTTGCACAAGTTCTAAGTCTAATTGCTACAGTCTACTGCGCAATCTCCAGTCAATCACTTTCGTGGAGACAGAAATTACAGAACTATTAAAATTTTTTATAACCTATGTTAAGACAATACCATCGTTGTATCCCACTACGGCGAGGAAACACAGATGATGCTTCAGGTAAAATCTGTTGTCAGTAAATGAAATGGAGGATGCCTAGTGATCGTTGGATAGAGCACGTCGGTTCATAAAGCACTATTAATGGCAAACGTAAAGGAAAGAGAGCAGGATTTTTTTTCTGTAATGAGCAAACTCGAACACAGCTCTGTGAACAACTGGAGACCTATGTCAAATAAGAAAAAATTACGATGGAAAGGTATGAATGGAAAGCGGTGGAGCATGTCAAATCTCGTTGTAAATAAAGCAGCTGTTAATAATTGACTACATTCGCAAATATCGTTGGTGAGAAGAGGTTTTAAAGAGAGTAATTTATTCCTAACTTTTAGGATTAAACTGGGTTTTTCTTCAGGGGGCATTATATATTCAAGAAATCAATAGCCGTGTCTACATCATAATATCTTTTAAGTGATTGGCAATTGTCATTGTAATTATTGTAATATGATTTGGACCCAGTTCAATGTGAAATGTTGGATTTATTTATTTGTGTATAATTAATATGCAACGCTGGGGAAGGAAACTTCGAGATTTCCCGATTTAAAAAATTCCAGAAAACCGCAGAAGACCGCAGAAGCCTCAGACTGGTCTGGAGAAATGCTTTATCATCTAAAATAGCTGAGATTCGGTCTAACTGCAGGAACTTTAACGTCCAATTCATTGCACTAAAGACACTTGTTGCCCCAGCATCACTCCAGCAGTGTGAAGGAAGAGTTTACCCGGTCCTCATAAGCAAATGTTGTGAAGTCGGATGAATGAAAGATGAGACCCAAGAATGTATGGTCTAACAATTCAAATGATCAAAGCAGCAGGTGGTCAGATGCTTTGAATGAATCTAGCGCAATGGTTCGGCTGTCACAGGGAAACGGAAAGATACCATCAAGCTAGAAGGAGTGAACAACAATTTCGTTGATCATGAAGGGCCAAAGGGGCAATCAGAAGAACTATCGCCCAATCAGTTTGCTCTCAAACGTCTGTAAATTTTTCATTAAGATCATCAAGAACAAACTTTCAACAAGTCTGGACGAAAAGCAGCCAAGAGAACAGGCGGGATTGCGAACGACACCGACAGCACAACCGGTGACATGTTTACTTTAAAACAACTCATCGAGTGCGAGAGGGAATGCCAGCCACTTCTGCGCATCGCTTTTTTCTACCGTGAAAAAGTATACTGTAAAACGTAGTGCAGATTGCACTGGCAGAGTAGGGCATCGACACGCATTACATTAACCGGCTTAAGGAAGCGAACTCTGGTTGCTTCACAAGTATCACGCTGTTCGACCCCTTGCTTCATAATCCCGTGGAGAAGGGCTAGAAATTAAAAGACTCTATCTCCTGAAACTCTTCAACTTTTCCACTTGTCTCGGCGTGACTCCAGCGCCATGTATAGCGACCAAGAGATCGCAGCTGCTTCCAATTTAGACGTACTGAGTGCACTCTAGAGAACCTTCTCAGATGACGCCATCAGAAGGAGGTTGTACAAACGATTTATGGTACTTTCGTCCCCTGGCTGCATCTGGTTATCCGTCATATAGATAATGGACAGGAGTGGTGAAAAAGAGCACCCTTTACGGAGTCCAGAGTCCACGATGAAGAATTTCGACTAAGCACAATTCATAGACAGCTTTTACTATCATAATACGGTGATTGAATGCTGCGAAGTGAATGACCAATGATCACGTAATCCTGAAGGCACGTTTACAGCTGATTACGATTAACCCGTTCATATGCCTTTTCCAGATCTATTGCACACAAATAAACCGATTGGGAATACTCACAGGATTTTAGGTAAATTCGATGTTTGGCGACATGTTGCTCCTAAATGATTGGAGAAAAATCTACGTTCTTACTTTCCGCTTCAATTTGGAGTCCGAATTAATAAGCGACTGGCCTGTCAGAAAACTTTCCTCTGTGCACAGAATAAAAGCGGGGGTCTATTCCATTATGCATAAATTCATGGTCCTCGTCGAACTCTTATCGTTCATGCCCTTCATTGTGCGCGTCTGCATGAGTTTGTGTCATTTCCTGTAGAATGACCGGTGAAAGTATACTTGGCTAAGGAAGATAAAATGTTAAGGCAAGGGTACATGTTGTATTTTAACTAGCTAGGACTTCTGTAAAGCAGCTAAAGATGACCATCACGAGCGATTCATTCTCAGACGAAGTTTTAGATAGTATTAAAGATCATGTTACGATTATTATTCAAAAGGGTATTGAATAATTCACAAGTATGGAAATCCAGTTATAGCAATACTTGCCATATCTAGCAGCATAGCACAATCGAATGATTGATGAATCAG